TGCTGGGCTGGAGGCGCCAGCGCCACGTTGGGCGCCACGGCGCTCTCAAAGCTCTTGTAGGAGTAAAAGCTGCGTTGGGGGAGGCAGGAGGAGGAGAAAAGGGTCACAGTTCTGGCTTTGGGAGCTTCCCACTGCAAACACCCACAGTGAATCCCGCTGATTTCCACCAGCTGAGAACCTGCCCATGGCACTGGTCAGTGCTTTAGTCCCTCATTAAACCCAGGGATCCCATCCCAGGAGCACCAAGGAGATGAGACCTCCCAGAGCCTAAAAGCCCTAAAGCCGCTTCCTCTGCTCCTCATGGTGCTGTTGTTTTAACCAACTGCACAGCTGGACTTCCATCTGCCCACAAATGGTTTGTAAACTCAAACCAGCACTTCCTTAAGAAAAACCATGAAGTGGAAAAGCATCTTCTTGTGCCTGTGATTCTGACACACACCTGAGTGTCCCTGTGTAAAACCACAGGTACAACAACCAACAAACCTCTGGTTAAACCTTGGTGTTAAAGGGGAGCATTAACATGACAGCAAATACATGGAATTTTGCAAAAAACAGAGCAAAGACTTTGTAACTTCAATTAAGCACCTACAGCGTGATGTGGTATCAGTTAAAATTTCTCCTGGAGCTGTTGTAGGTGGGTTTCATCCAATACTGAGATCAGTCAGGTTTCTCACAGGGATACCAAGGACACTTCCACCACTTCTCTCCCTACCTAGTTTAAAAATTAGGATATTCTGATAGGCTTTTACCCTTTTATTTTCCTTTTTTAAAAATCAATCCCCACAGCTTCTAAGAAACTTATTCATAAGGGCAGCACAATATGTTCTCCATAATATTCTCTAAAAACACCTGGTCACTTAAGTCAAAGTTTCCAAAGAAATCATCACCCTCAGGCAGAAACCTGGCTCGGAGCTTTTCAGAGTGCCCAGCTCCAGTCTGGCACAGGGATGTTGAACTGCCCTGACACTTTGTGCTCTCAGTGTGACACCAAGGTCCCACCTGCTGGGGTGACTCACTCAGGGCTGCTCCTGGCCCCGGTGTCTGGACAGGTCTGACAGGCTGAGGAGCCAGAACCCCCAGGCCAGGGCACACAGAGGGGCTGGGGAAACCTCTGAGGAGCCAGGAACCCCCAGGCCAGGGCACACAGAGGGGATGGGGAAACCTCTGAGAGCCAGGAACCCCCCAGGCCAGGGCACACAGAGGGGATGGGGAAATCTCTGAGAGCCAGGAACCCCAGGCCAGGGCACACAGAGGGGCTGGGGAAATCTCTGAGAGCCAGGAACCCCAGGGCACACAGAGGGGCTGGGGAAATCTCTGCTGCCCTTCAGCCTCCCTGGCACGGTGGGGAGGGACAGGAGCTGGTACCAGGGACAGGGCCCTGGCAGTGGCTGCACCTCCCTGACCCTGCCCAGGACCTTCAGTGACTGCACCCCCAAGTGTCCACCCGTTCTCAGCAGCCTCCACCTGACACTTCCATGGCAGGTGCCACCTTTAACCCCTTCACGCACAAACCAGCAACACTTTTTGTGTTTCCTTTCTGCAAACGAAACCCTGCAGCTGCCAACACCCTGACTGAGCACGGGGACAAACCCAGGGGCCTGTGGCAGCCCCTGTGCTGTCCCTGTGTCCTCACCTGTCCCGGATGAGGGCGGGCAGGTGGCTGGAGAGCTCCTTCTCGCTGGCTGACACCGCGGGGGACCAGGGCCGGAAGGCGGAGAGGCGCTGCCGCGGGTGCACGCAGCCGATGCTCTGGGGACAGACACGACATCAGTGACCCCAAAAACCCCCCCAGAGGGGACCTGGGGCTGCCCAGGCAACCTTCAGTCAACCCCACAGCTGCTCCCCACTGGCCACGACCTCCTTGCTCAGGGGTGCTGCTGGCCAACGAGCCCTGTGCAGTTTGGATGGATCACAAAGAGCTACAAACCCACACAAAGAGCTACAAACAAATCCTGAGCCTTGCAGGGTTCCTGTACCTCAAAGGGAATTCCTGACTTCCCTGGCACAATCCAGGTCAATGAGCACTGGAGGGTGACAAGGAATCTGGGGGAACTGTGTAGCTCAATGCTGACTAGGGAAAGGATGGAAATGTTACTAATTTAGAAACCCTGGGCATGTTCTTTCCCGCATTTTCTCCTCTGGTCTCAGAAGAGTGATGCTTTGTGCCAATTTGATCTCTCTTGATGACAAAATATTCAACAATCACCTTATTAGATGAACTGGATAAGGACCGTAACCAACTGGACTGTTTTTCCTTCTCAGAAGAAGCTGGAGATTGGGAAGCAGAGTCATCTATTTTGGGCTTTTTGGAAGCAGGAGGATCTGAAGAGACCTGAAACAAAAGCAGGAAAAATCGAAGTCAGATTCCTCATTTTGCAATCAGCTTAGAAACAAGTTATAAAGCAAAAGCAAATTTTGTTATTTAGAAGGAAGAAACTCTGGGTGTTTTTCTTCTTTTCTCAAATGCAAGGCCAAACAAAGGAGTGCAAACAAGGGGCAGACACAGACTGTGACATAACACACTTCACTCCTCCATGGGAGACACTGGGGTCAAGTGTGCATGGCACAGCAGAGATGGGCAGTGATCAAAGGGAGACACGGCTCCAGGCTGAGGAGAACTATCAGCCTTTTATGATTTTTGCATGCAGAAAGGTAAGTTTAATGTGGTTGCTGAACTGGAAAGATTATTTTAAACGAGAACAGAACAGACTTTGTTATTCTGTTTGCAGTGGTTGTTATGCCGATGACTTCACTACCCCACAGCTGCAGTGGATTCTGGGGGTGCTGCCAAGAGCTGCTTTGCCTTTTCCACAAGTGGCTCAGCTTGGCCCATAAATCATCCTCAAGCATAAGAAAGCCCTTTGGCAAGCAAAATCCCTTTCCTTCAACACTGTGAAGGAATAAAATTCCTATAGTCCCAGCGTGGCTTGCAAAAAAATTGGTAACTACTGGTTTAACTGGTGCACTGGGGATACCAGCTTGAAGGGCTGCCAGTACAAACACCTCTCACAGCAGGGAGGGAGAAGGTTCTGGACCTTGTGCTGCATCACGACCAGAAACAATAAAAGAAACATCCCAGCCCTGTTTCTATTCCTTTCTGTGTCTTTTTGCAGTTCTGCATCTCCACCTTTCCCCATTCCCACTCAGCCTGGCTCCCAGAAGGGTGGCACAGCCACCCTGCAGCCATTAATAATTGCTCATATTTGCATTCATTTGTTTCATCCTTTCACTCCTCTGTGATTTTTGTGGGCAAACAAGTGTTGATCCAGGTGTGTCTGGGCTGGCAATATCCTGGGAGCCTGAAATGCTCCAGCCCAGTGATAGAAAGGACCTCATTTGCCAATGTCCTGTGCTCTGAAAATCAGTCCCCTCAAGGCACCTTCAGCTGGGAATTCAGAGGCTCCTTCTCCAGCTGCTGCTGAACCCTGAGCACTGTGATTTAAATGATTTACCTGAAAAGCACCTGCAGAATTGTCCAAGTGCCCTTCTCAGGGCTCCCTCCCCAGGAGCTCTCTGACTGCGCCCCATCAGTGCCCTGATCAGGAGGGGTGACAGCCTCAGCCCCTGCAGAGCCTGCTGCTCCCGTGGGAGCAGGGCAGAGCCCTGTGCAGCCCCTGCCAGCCCA